ATCTATTGTATGAATGAATACAAAGCAATGCTTTTACTTAAACATAAAGAAAAATATATTTGTCTTATCGTCAAAATAATCAGTGAATAATTTTTCCATTACTAATGATTTTATTAGAAACTATTATTTAAACTACTCTTAAACTAAAACTTGATAAATTATTTTACGACAAAATTAAATCATTTCATTTTTGACAGTTTTGCATATTTGCAACTTATAAGTAAAGTAAAATCATATATTTTAATTTGTTTCCTTTGACTAATCACATGATTTCCAGACATGAAAGCGGTAAATATATCAAGATCAATTCTTAAATCATACTATTATAAATATAATGCATTAATTAAGTATTTAATTTATTATCTTATATTAATAACTACCCACATTCAATTTAAATCACAGGCAATACTTATGATAATACTGTTAGTGTCGATGACAGTGAGCGCCACATTTGTTGAGTGGACCGCAGCCAAGATGTTTGCCCTCAAGAAACTCATCTATATATATCTCAAACTCAAATACGGGGCTCTCTTTGGTCCGTCTTATCTCTACTTTCACGGCAAAGATTACTATCCCTTTCAACAGCACTCTATGCAACCAATGAGGGAAAAACGATTTATAAATTGGTCACAAAAATTCAATCCTTAAATAGTTTAGATTTTTCATTTCATTGATTCACCAGTTATATTACACAGTAGTTACTGTAAAGTTACTTTATATTAAATTTAAATATTATAATTTTATTTCATGTTTACTATTGTATGAAAACATTTTCAATAACAATCGTATGAATACTTTTCTTATTCAACACAGCGTTCAATGTTTTTGCTTTAACATTAAGTTTGTTATCAAACACATAGTGCTGTTTGTCATCGGGTGTTGTCGTCCAGCGACTGACCGACCCGTCAGTTATGCGACCAAATTGTGACAAATCATACGTAATATTCTGGGAGTCGTCGCCGATATTGAGGGTCACAATAACGAGCCGACGATTGCTTTGGTCATAAGCGGCCACCGAATCGGACCGATCGCTCTCCACTATTAGCATACCTTTGCGTATGTGTCGCGAGTATTGGGCCATAACGTAGTACTTGGCGGCCACAACACCCGTCGACCCCTTTTCCAGATCCGCCTAAAGCCAAAAATGGTTATCATAAGTAAATTAAATAAACTTTGTAAATCAAACGCCACACTCACGTGAATCATACCCCAACCCTGGCTACTATCAAACGTTTGCCAATACACCCACGCCGTGGTGTGCATCCAAAACAAATCTAGATTCAAATTCTGGGCCATCGGGAGTCCAGTGCCGTCGCCCTCTCCGTACTCTGAAGTCCAGATGGGTTTGTTGTCCTTACGGACCAAATCATAGAGTTTGTCGCGTTTGCCGTAGAAATATCCGTATCCGTGAACATTGACCCGACCCACAGTCGCCCTCACAGACTGTGGGAAACTCTCCCACATCTTAATGGCTGAGTCCACAGTCACCTCATCCGATGCCGACACCAGTGTCTCATTGAGACCGCGTTTATTTAACTCATCCCTCAAATACATTATCACTTTCTGTTGGGCTTCGGACCCAATATGACAGCCCTCTTGATTGCCTTCAGACGTCCAGCTCATAGACGACGCCTCGTTGAAAGCCTCGACAGATCTAAAGGTGACATTCCAGTGGTCGACCGCATACTTGGCCACAGTTGCCAAATACACGGCAAACTTCTGGTAGTTCCAGGTTTGCAAGTTTTCGCCCCCATTGGGCGCACCGGAGGGGTTGTGGTCGTAGAGCATCCACCACATGGGGCTGTTGGAGAACAGCTCAATCTGATCCACACCCCTATCCTGAGCCTTCTGGACCATTAGTCGCTGCTTTTTGTCGACACTCCAGTCCCAGCTCTTGGACTGGGGGTCATCGCTGTCCCAATTCAGCCAAAAGCCCTCGATTTGCTTGAATTTGGGTATTTTGGGCGACGCTATCATATGGTCAGCGCCTATACTATTGGCCGAACAGCCGCCCACGTTATACCGGATTATGTTTAGGCCCAATCCGGGCACCGATTGGTTGTTATACTGGATTAGTTTGGTGGTGAACATGAGATCGGCTACGTCGTCCCTGTCACCAAGCACATTTGCCCACCAGGCCAGTGATGTGCCCCAACCTTCCCATTCGCCCCAATTCTTGTGAGGGTTTATACGGTTTGTATAGTCGGCCCCACAAATGATGGGCAAACATATCAATACATTTAGTATTATGTGAAACATGTTTTTATTGGATACTTTTCAATTGTGCTCTAACATTAAGATTGTTTTAAGACATGTTTGGTTTATATTAGTTTGAATGTGAAAGTATGGAAATTATGACATATGTTTTGAGATATATCCCGTATAGAGTTGTAAAACAAACATGATAACTAATTGACTTTGACCTAAATCCTGTATTTATATTCTATACTTTTATTCATTAATAATATTTAATCAGTCAATTTATAATTCCGGATAAAATGACAATTAAATAAAATGGTTTAAATGTACGTCTATTAAATGCGTGTAAAAATTAAAACTATGTTTTAGATTTTGCTAAACTTGGTAAATGGTTATACACTTTAAGTATTTATACATTTTTATTTTATAAAACATCAATGAATTGACCTTTTTTATAAAAAAAACTTACCTTGATAAAATATTAAACTAAAAACAAGTTTAGGGAAATTAAATAATTTTATTTAAACAATTAAATGCATTTACAAATCACATAAAAATATATAATCTATAAGATTAATAATATGTATTTGACAAGAATATTAATTTATTTGACACTATTTTTTATTTACAACAATAATTGTTGTGCTAATAATTTAATTATTTAAAGTTTAATACATTTTATTTACATTATAATCAATACATAAGAAATGGACAAAAATGAGATCAAATAAAATACGAAATATCTTTAAAAAATTTGTTGAGACGTTTTTTGATGGCAATTGCGATCACTTTCTTTGACAAACACTTGTTATGTCTAATAATTTTAATCCGTTTGAGAATTTTGGCCAAAATATTCATCAATTTTATGGCATTAATCGCTTTATTAATGCATTGTTTGTCAAACTTTTGATGACATTTAAAATGATAGTAATCTCGGGAATCGTGACTCTGATTATCATTATATTCCGTACGCTTATTATACTTATAAATAATATGTATTTTATTATTTACATAGATATATCTCAGATATTCATAGACAACAAACACTATTTTATTATTAATAGCTTTTGTTTTACGCAAAATATATTTCATTTCCATTTCTTTGTCAAATAATAAACACCAGATTAAAACATTTGCCACAAAATTTAAATTAGTTATAATAATGAAACACAAGAACCCAACTATTTATACACACAAAACTATATTCACGATAAACAAGAATATTCTTGAATATTAATTGTATTGATTGTAAGAGAATATTGTCAATAATAAACAGGTATCATATGATAACACAACACGACTAAATTATATGTCAAAACAGTGCATAAAAATAACAATAAACAATGAAATATAACGATCGGAAGACAAAAATATCATAATGTTTTTATATGAAAATAAAATATTATTGCCATATATTATAATAATCTATATTTTCACATAATATGGCATTTGCTGCGAGAAAAATACAATCGCGTGTTATATTCACCGCATTATATCGTAACACATATTACAGTAATTTCTATTATAACCTAAAGTATGGGTATATTTATTAATGTCAACACTATTTTTAAAACACTTTTACTTTTAAATTATTTTATTTTATTAAAATTATTTTAATTAAAAATTTAATGCAAATTATTATTGATTTTGTTTTAATAAAATTAATTAATTTTATAATGAATGTTGGTTTTTATATAATGATATTAAATATGTAATTATTTGGTGTATTAATAAAATTAAAAAAATTTATTTATTTGTAAATATTATTTTATCAATACAAATATATTATATACATTATACATAGTCTATGTAACATAGACATAATATACTTTAACGTCAAACTACCTGGCAAAAAAGTTTACTTAAAAAATACAAAGCGTCTCTTAAATGATATAAGTTTAGTGTTGTTAGTTCTGTCATATGACGTCATATAACACTTTACATTACAGTTATATGACATGTAAAGTGTAATATAGAAATTTTATATTACAAAAAGTGTAATATAGCTCTGGCGCCATCTATTGACTAGGCAATTATGATATTGTAATTAACGCTATTATTTTAAAAATAAATTGAAACACAATTATAATTTTACAGTTATATGACATGTAAAGTGTAATATAAAAATTTTATATTACAAAAAGTGTAATATAGCTCTGGCGCCATCTATTGACTTGGCAATTACGATATTGAAATTAACGCTATTATTCTAAAAATTAATTGAAACACAATTAAAATAGCCCTATAAAGTGTGTTTCGATAATCTATTGGCAATATAAGTCGTAAATGTATGGTAAATTAAGCTATGATTCTAAATTAGCATTTTTCAAGCAAAATGTGTATTTTCTATATTACACTATGTGACGTTATATGACGTCATATGACTGTAACATGTAATATAAAATTCTATATTACATGTAATTTACATTACTACATATTACACAACATTAGAAAGAAGTTTTGATTGTCATAATCTCTAATTATAACTATAATTTTAACTATAATTTCAACTAATTTTAATAAAATAAACTTTTAGTATAACTAAAAAACACAAACTTAAAATAGTTACAAATATTGAATTCGAAATTAAATAAATATATTGAAAATAATATAACATTTTTACAAATAAAAGTTTTACAAAAAATATGTCTTATTTTCACGTCTCCTATCCATCGATGGTTTGTTTCTTTATCTGATCCGAGAGTCCATTAATAAGCAGAAGTTTAAGTGGACAACAATTTTGACTTAATTGGTGTCTTCTTACTAACTGATACAGACATCGATGGTTTTGAAGACTTTTTAACCGATAGTTTATCCAAAGATTGTAAATCAGTTTTGGACGACATTT